CTCACTGCCTTCTCAGGGAGAAGCTCTGGGGCCTGGCGGGCGCCCCGGGCCCTGACGCCACTGCAGCCTACCAGGTAAGGGCCTCCTGCCCGGCGCTGCCCCTCTGGGAACAGATCGCACATAAGGCCGCACTGCCCCCACCCACCCCCAGCAGTTCTCGTTCCTAGGCGCCTTTCTGAGGACAGTTGGACACTCCCTGGCGTTCTGGTAAATACCTGGAACCTCGGCTGCCCTGCTCTGTAATAGTCTCGCATTAGCCAGGAAAGCGGGCTGCTCGTTAGAAACGCGGGACAAGCACAGTGCGGGAGGCATGGCTCATCTGGTCCTGCTCTCCATTTGGCCACTGTTAATGAGAAATGTCAGATTGCAAGAGAGATCGGTTTTGTGGGTGTCTGAAGATGTCCCCACGTCACGGACTTCCTGGGTGTTTGTATGAAAAGATCCTCGGCCTGTTCGGTCGGCCTGTTCTGATTTGGATAAAGTGGAATCTAATACTGAAAGTGGCAAGTACACGCCGCTGTCTCCATGGGGACCGTCTGCAGCTGTGTGCGGGGGATGCGAACACATAGGGACGCCAGGGAGGACGCTGGGAAGGCAGGTGCAGACCAAACTGGACCTGCACAAGTTCACAGACATTCCAGAAACCTTATCGTGTCCACATCCACACTTAGCCACCTCCTGGAGGAGCTGAGCCTCCTGGTTGAGCAGCAGTACAAGCCCCGAATATAGGCAAGTTAGGGCACCTGATTTCTTTCCACGTAAAATACCATTTCACTCCACGTATATTCCCCACTCGGGAAAGTAATTTTCTTAATCATCACTGAGAAAGTCTAATCAGGATACACTTGGCAAAGATTTCCTCCCGTTGGACTAGCCTGTGTTTTCTCTAATCACATGACTATGACGTGTAATGTGCCTTATAAGGAACACGACTACTTAGAACCCTGTGTGTTAGTTATTATTCTCCTATCATCAGAGTTACATGGGGACACGCTCCCAACCCCTGTCCTTCAAGGCCCTCTGAGCCCTCTGAGTGCCTGGCCCTCCCAGTACAGTGGCTGAAGTCATGACATCTCCAGGCTGACGGGGCCAGGAGGGGCCTGTTTCCATGTCAAGTCTCTTGGTGCTGTCTTTGCGTGGAGAGCCCGCTGTGTTTCTGGAGGGGTCACCAGCCTGGCCACCTCGGTCTCACAAAGAACTGGTGACGCGGATGTGCGGGTGGCACCTCCGCTGCCCATGCAGCTCTGCTTGAAAGAAAGAAAAATCACGTTTGAAGGAGCCGGGCAAAGAGACCGCGTCGGCTCCTGAGCATTCACCCAGCGAGCTAGCGGGGGCCCAGCACCCCTGGAGGACGCGGCTCCGGGCCCCTGTGCTCCGACATAAATAAATGATCACACGGCGCTCTCCGCGGGAGAGAGCCCGGCGTCCTTTGATACACTTTGAAATTCAAATATAAAACATTGATAGAATGGAGAGCTTGGACTCGCATGCAGAAAAGGCTAATTTTGACCAAAATGCAGGTTGAAAATGCATACTTAGAACTGAGTTTGCGATAATTAAAAAAAATCGTCCCAGTGACAGCCCTAATGAATAGTATCTGTGATTAAAATCGGTCCCTTCCAGCAGGAAAAGTGTTTGAATTTCTCGGAGTGACCTTTCCGCTCTTCTCGGGGGCAGGCTGGTTAGGTTGATATTGATTCTATAATGAGCCTGGTTTGTTTAATAAGAACAGACAATAAATGGAACGTGTGCATTTCTTCAATCCAGAATAACAAAAAGAAAACAATTTTTTCCTTTAGAAATACAATCTAGGAAAATTTAGAGATGAAGTCGTGGTGAAGACGTTTCTGGTGGCTGAGGGTTGAAATTGCTACAAAATCCCTTCCAGGGAAGCACCGTGATAGAACATGGAGGTTCACCCAGCGACGTGGTCCGTTTACCGGAGAAAAGGCCAGGGTGGAGCTGTGATGCTGTTTGGTTGGCTGGCAGAGCAGGATCCGCAAATGAGGCTACGGATTTCATGATTTCGGCTCTAGACTTCGCCGAGTCATGTATTAAGGACTCACATAGTGTCCAGTCAACCCAAACAACACAGGATTGGGGCAGCCATGCTGTAAAAAACCCACATGTAACTTTTGACTCACTAAAACCTCAGTCTTCCCTCAGTACCCACGGGGGATTGGTTCCAGCCCGCCCCCACAACACCAATATCCACAAATGCTCAAGTCCTTTATATAAAACTAGAGGCCCAGTGCTTGTGCACTGGAGGGGGAGTCCCTAAGCCTGGCCGGCAGTCTGGGAGCCCTCAAGGGATATCCGACTGACAGCTCAGGCCCATTCCCCAGAGCCGGCAGTCGGACAACCTTAGCGCTGCCGTGGAGGTGTGAGAGGCTCCCACCACCGCCACTGTGCTCGCCAGCCATGAGCCCAGCTTCTGGCTGAGCGGCGCTCCCCCTGTGGGAGCACACTGACCACCAGGGGGCAGCTCCTGTGTTGAGCGTCTGCCCCCTGGTAGTCAATGCACATCATAGCGACTGGTCGTTCAACCGTTCGGTCAATTTGCATATTAGCCTTTTATTATATACTAGAGGCTAGTTGCAGGAGGATTCCTGCAAGAATAGGGCTTCCTCGGGCCAATCGTGTCGCCAAGCCCCACAGCCCAGGGCCACACACAGGGGTCCCAGCTGGGGCGGGGGGGCTTTGACGGCACACAGGGGCTTGGATGGCAGCTGGTGCTGGCCCACCCTGCCTGCAGTATGCAACTAGCTGCCATCTTTGTTGGTGGTTAATTTGCATATTGTCATGATTAGCCAATGGGAGGCGTAGCAAAGGTATAGTCAATTACCATGTTTGTCTATTATTAGATAGGACTAGATGCCCAGTGCATAAAATTTGTGCATGGGGGAGGTAAATTAGTCACCATCTTTGTTGGCAGTTAATTTGCATATTGCACTGATTAGCCAATGGGAGGCATAGAGAAGGTACATTCAATTACCATGTTTGTCTATTATTAGATAGGTCTAGAAGCCCAGTGCACAAAATTCGTGCAAGAGAAGGCCGTCCTTCCCCCAGTTGCTGGCAGTGGCTTCCCTCTGGCACCCGGGATGCAGGCTTCCCTCACAGTCCCAGCTTTGTCCAGAAGGACATCTGGTCTAATTAGCATATTATGCTTTTATTATATAGATGATAGCCTAAAACAATGCATACAGTCAGCCTTCCAAATCCACAGATTCACAAACTTGTATCAAAAATACTATTTTGGCCCTGGCCAGGCAGCTCAATTGGTTAGAGCATCATCCCGATATGCCAAGGTTGCGGGGTTCAATCCCCACTCAGGGCACATACAAGATTCCACCAATGAATGCATAAATAAGTGGAACAACAAATTGATGTCTCTCTCTCTCTCTCTCTCTCTCTCTAAAAGCAATCAATAAAATTGTTTTTAAATGCTGTTCCCTGTCCTGGCCAGGTGGTTCAGTTGGTTGAAGTGTCGTCCTGTACACCAAAATGTTGCAGGTTCACTTCCCAGTCAGGACATATGCCTAAGTTTCAGGTTTGATCTTTGGTTGCAGCAGCTACAGTATGCAACTGATCAAAGTCTCTCTCTCTAAAATCAAAAGCATATCCTTAGGTGAGGAGTTTTTAAAATGCTGTTTTCTCTCCACGTGTAAGTGGACCCGAGCAGTTCAGATCGAGTCTTTCAGGGGTTGGCGGTAGAGCCCATGCATGGAGGGGTTCGCATGCGCCCGGAGCAGGTATTCATCAGGAATCCACATCATGGGGTTTCTGCAGCTGCATTGAGACCCCTTTAAGTTTCAGGATGTGTCTGGGAAGTTTTAAAAAAATATATTGCAAACCTAAAACAACTATTTCAGGAAAAAATATCTTATTGCCTCAATGCTTTTTTTTATTTTTTATTTTTTTGATAGTCACTGGATGTGGATTCTTATTTTCCTTGCAAGATCAAAAGGTTCTTTAAAATCCTTCAGCCACCAATGAAATGATCAGACAGGAGAAAAACTTGACACAGGAATCTTGTCATCAAAAATAAATACAGTTGCATGAGGTGCTCAAGATCTGACCAAACGAAAAATGGGAAGGCAGGTTCCCAACCCTCCCACCATGGGCCGTCCCTGGGCTGAGGGAGGCGGGCAGGAGGCCTGGCCATGCCCTCTCAGTGCGGGAAGCCCGGTGGTCGGTCAGATCGGCTTCTGGTGACATGCAGCACCCCACGGTGACAGGAGCGGAGTCGAGGGCAGGGCAGGACCTACTGCTGCAGCTCCTTCATCCTGTTGAGGGCCCTGCCCGCGCAGAACCACTCGATCTGGCTCTTGTTGAAGGCGTGGTTCAGGAGGGGGTCTCCTGGGAGCCGTTGGGGTGCTTGATGATGCACGTCAGGGGCTTGCCAGGGGCAAAGTCCTTCAGGCCCTGGATGGTCAGCTTGTCCACGGGGTGACTCTTGTTGTAGTCGGCTGGGTCAGCAAAGGTGAGGGGCAGCAAGCCCGCTTCTTCAGGTTGGTTTTGTGGATCTTGGCGAAGCTCTTGGTGATGATGGCCGACCCCCAAGGTGGTGGGGCTCCAGCCCCGCATGCTCCCGGCTTGGGCCCTTGCCATAGTTCTCGTCTCCAATCACCACACCGGATGCCATGTTTCTTATAGTAGCAGGCAGTGTCAGGAACAGGACCAAATTCCTGGGTGACAGCATTGCACACAGAGTTGGCCTTGCCATTTTCAATGAGCAAGTTGTTGGAGATGTTGTCCAGGTGCCCACGGAACTTGAGCCAGGGGCCGGCAGCGGAGATGTGGTCAGTGGTACACTTCCCTTTGACCTTGGTAAGGTTTTGAAGGTCCTCCAGGTCTTTGCCATCCCATTTGTCAAAAGACTCAAGGAGCTGCAGATGCTGGCTGGTGGGGCTCACGTCCACCCGCTGCCCACTGCCACCTTTGGGAGGGTGCTGTAGGTGTCCTGCCCAGGGTTGAAATTTGTGTGGGGAAGCTCATCTGTATCTGGAGCCTTCAGCTTGAACTTCTTGCCATCCTTGCCTGTCGGGAAGTCAGTCTTGGGGTTGAACTTGAGGGTGCCAGCAACGCCCAGGGCAGTGACAATCTCTGGGGATGTGACGAAGGCATGGG